GCTTAGAATGGCATTGTATGAATATTCAGGATAATTTCTATAAGCTCCTTATGAATGTGCACAGTTCTAGAAGGTGAAACCCTTTAACTCAAATATTTATTCTGGTTTTGGTGGGGTGTTTTTTTGGTTTTTTTTTTTTTGTTTTTTTTTTTTTTTTTTTTTTTTTGTCAAATCTTCCTATGTTAACCACTGGCTGTTTCCCGTGAGCAATAAACCTGAATTTATCATACCAGTAAATATAAAAGCAGGAACAGATATTGTCTTGAAATCCCAGAGTCAACTTCAGCTTCGTCTGAGGTTTCTGTGATTTCACTAGATGATGTTATTTACATAATTTTGATTCTAGAAGATATCCTAGTTGTAAGCATGTGTTGCTTGATCCTTTCTGACAGCCCAGTGCCCACAGCAGAGAATTGCTTTCTGTTGAAATCCCAACTTATATTTTGCAGAAGGCATTGGGCACAGCTGGCTTTTGCAGTGCTGCATGCCAGAACCTCAGCTGAGCTGGGGGCCCCAGCACTGATCCTGCATACACTTGAACAGCATGACAAAGCTGTGGTGTTAAACAGGCTCAGTGTGACCTGCTGCCCAGCCTGCAGGGACTGCTGTGCTGAAGCTGACAATAAAGATGGAGTTGAAGTGGACGAGAAGAAGGATCACCCAGTAGAGCTTGTTAAAGGCAAACAGCTCATGCTGAGTGTTGGCAAAAGCAATGTCACAAATGGTGAAAAAGTGACTGTAGTGGTAAATGCTGACTTTCACACCGCTAATTAGCTGCTGTCAAAGCTGATTCGAGACAGTAATTCAGCTGTTCAGTGTAGAATCGGCTGGTCTGTGGGGGAAGGAGAGTCAAACCTCCACAGATGATTTCTAATGGATAAGACAATTCGTGTAGAGCCCTAAGTGTTATTTGTCTGCCACATGTACTCTACCAGTGATGGAGGATGGCTGGGTTGGGAGCAAAGGCATTGTCAAGTGGGATTCTCTAAAGGTAAATACTCACCTTTCTCAGATGGGTGATAAACCCTTTGCCCTGACAGAGGTTGCAGTGCATCAGAGAAATATTTTTGCATTTTTAAGGTAAAAGTTCTGACTTATAGAAAGTTTGGAAAAGTTACAAAACCTACCCCACACCTTTGTTGCTTATTAACCCAGCTGGTTATTTTAGCAGAAATTTTGCTGGGCTATTTCCTCTGGTATAATCCAGAGGAATCTGAAACAAGACCATTAGTATGAAAACGCTGGTGAAACTGAGAACTATTCGTAACCCACTGGGAACACTGAACATTTTCCAAGTCTGCATAAATCCTGAGCACAAATCTAATTCAATAGTGTGTTTCCTAAGACTTGTCTTAACTAGATCTATTGGAAAGGAACAGACACATCTAGCAAATGTAGACAAAGAGGTATGGGAACCAGCTGGAATATATCTGTATTGTTTTAAAAAAGCATGTGACTTTTTTTCACCATCTGTTTTGAGGATATCTTTCTAGGAATGAATGAGTTAAGGTTGCTTCAGGAATGGGACTGGGTGGAAGTTATGGGACAACAGACATATCCAACTGACAACCCTTGGAAGTTACTACATGGGCACAGGAGATAAGCAGAACACTTAAGAATTGCACAAATATGAACAAAAACAAAGGGAGATTTACTCTGTGGGACTTTTTAAAAGGTCAAAATGCAGCATGATCTCAGGGAAGTTAATGGAGAAAAAAACTGATAAAGTCAAAGCCAAAATGCAGGGCAGGTCTGCCAGTATGGAACTAATCTGCTCCATTTATTTATATTTCCACTCAGTGCTTGTGTTGTAAAGAAATACTATTTGAGGACTGAGTACCACTCACATTTCCCTTTTGCTTGATAAGAACTTTTTTTCCCTAAAGAAAAATAGTCCTTGTTATGGCTTTCACCCATGACTTTCTGTCAACTTCAGAATCCCGGCATAGTGGATGCTGGCAGGGAGCCAGAGATCCCTGAGTCCAGGCCCCTGCTGACAGCAAGGTCAGCTAGAGCAGTCTGCCCAGGACCATGTTCAGTTGGATTTTGAATATCTTCAAAGGATGGAGATATCCTACATCCTCTCTGGGCAACTTGTCTTAGTGCTTCCCAACCCCCAGAGTAAAAAAGTGGCATTTTTCTCCTCTTCCTTCTCCTGTGTCATCTTTTGTGTGAATGGAATTTCCCATATTTCATCTGCACCCATTTCCTCTTGTTCTGGTTGCACTGAGAAGAATTTGGCTCCATCTTTGCTTCCTCAAATCACACTACCATTGTTCCTTTTACTCAGTTTCACCTTCCAAACAGAGGAGATGACTTTTCTGTGCATTGCTTATATGTTTTGCTAATACCAGAAATGTAATAATATGTCTCACTTATCTTGGCTTTTTTCAAAAGTATTACAAATATCTGTGGTCTGACCCTGCTTACATTACATGCAAAGGGAATCTCAGAATGTCATAAGTGCCAAGTTAAAATACCTATGTGAGATGCCCTGTCATCAGTATAAAACACAAGTGTTACAAAACTAAGCAAGACTTAAAACCTGAAAAGTATATTGACAAAAATAATTTGGCAAGGCTGAAGTCTTGCTTCTTCAATAGATTACCAGTGCAGAACACTGGGATTCAGTGATGATCCATTTCTCTGCTCATTGCACCTAAATTAACAAGATTTTTGACTGCACAGGCTGCGGGACCAAAGTGTGTCAAGTGAAAGGGTGGAAGGATTTGCCGTATGTAATTCCAAATGCATCAACCAGACTGACAGCAGTTTAAAAGTGAAGACAGAAGTTGTTCAATGTTTTTCTGACGAGTGACCCTGAACCCTCATTGCAAAATAATATGCTAGATAAATATGTATTATCATACATGAGATACAGCAATGTCTGAAAAGAAGCTTTTGCCCAGAATACATCAGAAGAGCAAAGTCTTTTTACCATGGCCTTGAATATACCAGGCCTATAGCGACCGCCTATGCAACATCAAATAAAAGAAGGCAGGACTGAGTCAGTGGTAGCAGCTGTGGCAGTAAGAACTATATTTCTGTGTATGATGGGAGGGGAACTTTACCCCTTTCTGCTTTCCATTGATCCCTCTGACACTGTGCAGCCTTCTCCATCTGCCTCACTGTGCCCTCCTGTTTATCCTTATTTTGTTGTGTGACAATTATGTGAATGGGTGGCCACCTCAGATGTGTCTATCTGGAGAAAACCAGAGTAGTCTCAAACTCTGTGCATCTAGACTTTGGAGGATAAATCCAGCTAAGTAACCTGAAAATTATGCTATTGTTACCTGTTATGTTGTACAGATTATGAGGAATAAGAAAAAATGAAAGTAGCACTTATGTGCCATAGATATCCCTAAAAAAATGTAGGTATAATAACAGTAACAACAGAAATGTGGGTGTATTGAAGGGAGGCCTGAACCCTGAAACAAAACATGAAATATTCCCATGTAAAACACTACTGACAATTTTATAAATCAGCTAATCAGAAAAACACAATTTTCTAGTGGATACATCATAAGAAAAGCTGGGGATCGCTGCCACTTTAATTCATATTTAATGACATGAGCATTTTGGGTTCTGCAAAGCTACTGAATTGTCACCTGCATGTCTCACACAGCCCTGGTGACTGATTTTGAAAATGTGGGTAACAAGTTCTCTGATTTGGAAAGAGCTGGCAGCACAGCCCAGCTTGGCTTGCTTGTGGTGCTCTTACACATTGAGTAGTGGTAGGTGAGAGGAGACCTGTTAGCCATATACACGTGGTTAAACTAACACAGGCTGTGCTGCCAGATTTTCTGGTAACTACAAAAGGAGACATAATCGGATGTAAGGGGAAAGGAGCAATCCAGTACACCACACAGAAGTCTAGTTCTACAGGTTTCTTCTACACCATGTCCGCTTAAATGTCACTGAAATATAAACATTAAGAAAATCCATTGACAGAGCAGGACTTGTTCAGGTGTATGAAGCAGAAAACATTTAATGAGGAAACAGGTGATATTAAAGTACATCATAAAATACAATTATCAACCTCCTAATCTGATGAAGCATTGCACCTCATTGTAACAAGCAATTTGTGCAATAGAATAATTTAGGAAATAAGAGACTATTTATAGCTCCCAGTAATTTAAAATTATTCTAGAGGTGAAAACAAAACAAAAAAGCAAGGACATGGTGATGTCAAGCTAACTGTCCAGATGAGGAAAGATTTTGGACTTGCTAATTCATGATGTGCCTTGACCATATGGGGTTTTTCCTCCCTCCTATTTCCCCACCCCTTCCAGTTTCTGAGTTTCTGTATACAGGCACCCTAAGTGTGCCAATAATGTGACAGGATTCTACTCTGTACACGTGAGAGGGAAGCACACAGCCAGACTCTATGTCCCTGCTCAGTGTGTATGAAAGCAGATTCATAATTTATGCTGCTGCTGAATAAGTCCAGGTACCAGTGCATTTCAATGATTAATTTAACAAAGCTTACTTAGAACTGACACCACAAGTAATAGCTAATGCAGGTTGTTTCACTTCTGTAAGTGCACATTACTTTTAAGAAAGAACAAAAGGCTGAAAGTCTGTTCTTCCTAGTCAGTCTGACAGATAAAATGGGAGGTTGCATATTTCTGATTGCTCAGGTGATGTCACATAATTGCTCAGGTGTTTCAGCTGCTTGAAGCAGCTTTGGCCTGCAAAGGAGAGGGTAAGTTTCCCTCCATGCATGATCAGGGCTCAGTATAATGTATAATCAAGGTGAATGCTTATCCCTTTCATGAGCCCATGGTGGCTACAGATAGCAGTCAGCCAGTCTGCCAGTGCCACGAGGCTTACTTGGCTTGTTTTGGACTTAACAGTTGCTCCACACCTGGGACACAGTACTCAGCCTCCAAGTGCACCTGGACAAATGTTTTGAAGAACACTTTGCAACTGTAACTATGTGCCTGTCAGCCACTTAGTGCCATGAGCTGCTGATGTTTCTTGGTGCAACTTTGACTTACCAAACAGGTTCGTGAGACAAGGCTGGCCAAACAGTTTGGTTCATCAGCTCAGCAGTGAACATACCTCCCAGACTGCCTCAAAACAGTCAGATCACTGGACCTGCCATGAAAACAAGTTAACTTAATATACAAATACTTTTAACCTGTAATTGAATGTTTTTGTTAGGGAAATTGCCAAATCCCCATTTCACGTGAACAGATATGTGAGTCATTACAGTTGAGCATGTTTATTGTACATGGCAGTTCTTTTCAAAACACACGTTTAAACAGATGGCTTATGTTGACTATTAATGCAGTTCCTGCAATTAAGTTCAATCTGAACAAAGTCGACACAGACTGACATTCTATTGACATCAAAGCTGCTGTATTGCATCTTCTCCCTACGGATGTTCAAATTTGGATCTGCTACTACAGCCTCACTGAAATGTCAACTGGGATAAGTCACGATGCAACTGAAGAGGAGAGATAAGGTACCTGGAGTCTTCCTAAATTACTTTTTGACGGAGATTTATTATTTACATATTCATGCTGTTACATTTCAATGGTGAAAGTCCATGTTTGAGCAAATTGCTAGAATTAACACAGCAGTAGGAAGCAACTTTCTCTCTCTACAGATGCAGTGAGCTCAAACCACAGGCAAGTGAACTCCCCATACAAGGAGCTCAAGTCCACGGTGGTGCCGTCCTGTACTGCCCACAAATGCTGCTGTCGGGTTTATGGTCCTGCAGGCAAATGACAGAAGATAAAAAAGGCCACACATGTGGTGAAACCCAGAGCTCTTGAAATGCAGTGTTGTGTTGAGGCAGGATATTGCAATAGTGACTGACAGAATAGTGTGACAGCAGCTCTGGTGACACAGCCCAGACTACAAAGCTGAGGCTGCTTTGGGGCTTTCTGATACACAGTCCATTTTGATGTGTTTAAAAATGCCAGACAGGTTTCTCCTCTAAGAATTTTTTGCAGAGTCTTTGGAATTTATGTAAACATTAATTCCTGCAGCAAAATGCTTCATACTTTAGCTTTGCACTATGTGAAAAAATGTCTTCCCTTCTTTTCAGTTAGCTATTATCTTCCTTTGACAATCTGCAGATCTTTCATTGGAAGAAACACCGAACAATTGTTCCCTACTCACTGTCTTTTGTCATCAATAATTTGACAAGTCTATTTTATCATCTGGTGTGTTTTGCAGCCTGAGGGATTCTATGCTATTTTTATCACTTTTTCCTCTATTAACTCATCAGTAATTTACTTGCCTATCCAGTAATTTCCTGTCTGCAGCAGGTAATGTGTTGGCCCTGAAGCTGGGTTTGTATGGCTGCAACTCAGCAAAGAGGGCATCCAGCCCCTAGTGATCCATTTAGGAGCTGTTTACTGTGACTTCTAAAGTGACACAAGAGAATGGGTGTAGCTAGGTTTAGTGAATTAGAGTAACAGGAATAGTATAACAAGCATGTCATGTCTATTAGATACTGCTTGCCTTTCCCTCCTCCCTTGGTACTCTCCTAAAGCAAATTCCATCTTTACTACTTCCTCTACTATATTGCTCACTTCCATGTAGTACAGGGAAAACATAGATTTCATACATGTCTTTAGAAAGAGATGTTTCCAAATGTCCTTTCATTATTCAGTAGCAACTTTGTAAATGTGCATGGAAGCAGCTTTCATACAGCACAGAGCTGTACAGTAGTTCTGCTATTTTTCCTATCTGCTCTCGCAGGGCCTGTGACACACATTCTTGAAAGATCTCCAAGTGTCACTGCATGATGCTGGACAAAGCTGAGGTTGAAGCATAACAAGGTCCCTTCTATTTCCAAGTCTGGCACATGTTCAGTGTAGCAGGGCTGGCACTGCCCTGCAGTGAAACAGCCTCCATGCTGGAACTCCACCATCTGTTGGAGCAGAGAGCTCGTTTGCAGTCACACTCTTGCAAATACCCAGACAGCCATAGCCAACAATCTACTTAAATCTGAACATTGATACATTCAATCTAAACCACAAATAATTACCATTCTTTGAGTGGAATTCACTGCTGGAATTAAAAAAAAAAACCAAAAAAACCAACACTGTATTTCTGGGAAAGGCAATCTGAGGAACAACATGAAAGCTCTCTGAGGAACAACATGCAGTGTTTAAATCACTTCTGATTTGTTTTTTACTAGCTTTAACAAAATTTACACCTCATGAAGAAGAAGAACAGCTATGTATCTCATTACATAAGTCTAACATTTAATTTCAGTAAATATAATAGTAATGAACTGTACAGAATTATTATTTCAGCACTCTCTGATAATAAAAAAATCTGACTTTACCAAACAACACTTAATTTTACACTCCTAAAAAATCATATACACTCTCTCACAAAGCCAGTGAAATATCCTGGCAATAGTAGATTTTCTCTCTAGAAAGCTATAGTTAGTGTTTTAGCTGACCACAGATCTAGGAAGGAAGTCTCAAACCCAAAGGGAGAACAGCCTGGATGCTTCTCCAGTAAGATGTAACTACAGTAACCACGAGGCACAGATATTTGCCTTTATAGAAAGGAGCAAAGTTGTGCTGGAGCTTGATTAAATATTTGTGAAGCTGACTTAACATCCTTTCGCCAAGTGAATGTATCATGCTCTAAACAGCTGTGTAAAAATAACCTACGAAAACAGATTATTTTTATAATTTTTCTTGAAAAATGACTCCAGAGAAGTACAGACAATGAAGAGGTACTAGAAACATTAGGAAGCTGATTACAATTGTAGATCATAAAGCTGGTTATTTAGGTTGCTTGATATTTCTTGTCATTTGAGCTGGATTTCAGTCATTGCTAACTTTCTAAAATCACAAGCTTTTGGTCTCATGTTTTCTAGCCTGGATGTTAACTTCAGACTGTGTTTTAGTGAAAAAAATTATTAATTTTTCTTGTTTCTGGTCAAGCTGTGTGTACATGAACTCTGAAGAGTAATTAATGCTGTTTGGCCCATGCATGCAAACAGAGTCAGACTTTGCCCATCAAAGCTGCTCTGGGCCCAGCACAGAGCTTGTGGCTTTTTGTGCTTACATTGACCCTGTGCTAGAACCTAATGGATGTATGATAAGAAGGAGGAGTGAAGACCAAGAGGAGGGGTCACCTCAGGGAGCTGGCAGGACATGGCAGCCCTCTGCAGGAGTGGGTAATGACTCTGGGAAGACAGTGGTGGCTGGGGGGACCGGCCCAGCTGGCCAAGGACTCAGCAGAAAAACAGCTCAAAGAACTGGGGCTCTGAGAAGACAAAAGAGGGAAGAGAATCAAACTAGCAGAGGAGGTAAAGCAATGGAGATTTGGGAAAGAGTATAGCTGCACTGGTCAAGGTAAGAAAATCAACAATAGCAGAAGTTTCTCAAGCAGCAGAACCAGTTTTTTTGGGTTTGAGGATAAAATATCCCAGGTTAGTAGAATTTACTCTTTAATGTGTGTTTTCTGAAAGCTGAATATTTCAAAAATATAACATTAACAATTGCTACCATCACAGGAAAAAGCCAGATCTTTGCTGGAGCAGAAGCTTCCCAAGTTATTTCTGAAGGATATTGGGAGTGAGAAATTGTTGGTCAAAGGGCAGGGGATGATGGGGGAAGGCAGCCCATGGAGTCACTTTGATTGAGAGGAAATCTGATGAATGCTGTTGGTTAGCAATGAATGCCTGCAAGTTACATGCATTCATTGAAGAATTTCTCAAATCCAAATTATGGAACAAATTGAAGGAAAAATTGCCACCTTATGGCCACCACATTTCTTGAATTTTCCTCCCTACTAAACAAATGATATAATTTTGCTGCTGCCTTATTTTCAGCTTCCTGTTTTTAAGTTTATTGGCATTTCCTTCAGTCCCAGGAAAACTAATCTACTGAGAGATTATAGAGTAGTTAGTTTGTGTTTGTTTAGGCAGACATTCAGATTCTGACACTAAAGACTAATATCTACTTCCCTTTGGCTTGTGGATAAGTGCAACAAACTTTCCACAGTCACGCAGGTAAATAAGGATCTTTACAGATCAAGCAGGAAAATTAGTGTGGTCCTCTTTGAAAAGTTGTATCACACTTGAAAACAGCAGCTCTCATTGTAACCTTGTGTCTGCTGAGCATCAGTAGGATTCCTGGTCTGTGCTTCCATGTTCTGCGCCACCAGCTATGAAGAATGGAGGCATTTTTGGCAGTGGTTCTGATAAATTGGTAGGCCATAAAGCTTGATATCAGATAAAAGTAGGTGTGAATGATGATCAGATGTTTATTTTGTGGTTTCTATTAATTTTGTGGTTTGGTCTCCCCCCACTCCCAGCATTTGCTGCAAGTGAACAGATTTTGCCTTTTCCATCTAGTGGCAGTCTGTCTGCATGTATCAAAGCACCAACAGGTTTTTTCCTTGCTTGTATGCAGAGTATGAGCCATCATTCAGGGTGACATCTTGTGAGGCATCCTGGCCATGCTGGCAGCTGTGGCATAGTGGAGGTGTCCTTGTTCTTCTCTGTCCTTTGCCTTTGGCAACTGATTGTGTAGAAAAAGGTGGTGCAAGCAGGATACACACATCTTTAAGCTACAAAGCAATTATTTGTTGCCTTATTCAGATAGTTGAGACTGACAAGTTCCCAGGCTAAGGAGAGCTGGCAGGGACCTGACAGCAACAGGGGAAAACAGTGTTCTCTTGTTCCCTGGTACCAGCTCAGCTCACCCTCAGAGCTGTTGAGTTGCCTTCCTTCAATCCCTGTTTTTGATTTAGGTCTTTATGCCTTTCCAGGAAGTGACATTCTTCATCTCAACAATCTTGCCTCTGTCTGTAAAGTTCTCTTTCTCATTTTGTCCAGCCCCAGCTGACACACAGCTCTTGCTCACAATTTGGTGGTTTTCTCGGAAGCCTGAGTGGGGATTTTGCTGCTGTACTTCAAAACAGAGCCTCAGGTTACAGAGGGCTGAGACAAAAGGAGGAGGGTAACAGAGGAGGTGCTGCCATGATCTCTACAATCTGTGGCTGTGTGCTGAGCAGGGTGGTTGGTCTGGGAAATCTGGCACACACCCCTCCCCTCCACTCTGTGCTGGTATAGAGCTAAGAGCCCATTGCTTGGATTAGGTAAAACTGCATGGAAACCATTTTGGAGCATGCATTCTTGAAGAAAATAATTAATTCCCTCAATTGTCTAATACTGACACAGCCCTATTTATCAGGATCTAAAAGAATCACCCTAGCACCACACAGTTCCTACTTGCCTTAGAAAAAAAGTTATGCATAAGTATCTTCCAGGAAAGTGCTCATCCGGCATTACTGATGGAGGAGAGAACAGAAAATTTTCATGGCTAAGCACTGCAGTTTAGGGACAAATCTGAGCTCACAGTGAAGAAAAGGGAACCAGAGGATGTTACAAGCCTGTTAAGGATTGATGAGCATGCAAGAAGTCTATGCCATATATTTCAAACTCTACTATTATGTCATAAAAATTGATAACTCTTGTGGATTTTTTTTCTTTTTTTATGCATGTAATTTATTTTTTAAAATTTTATTTTCTTTGTTAAGTATATGACAGCACTGAAATTTTATGAATTGAAATGCTGTGCTTGAAGTGAGAGCAGTTGAAGTAAAATTATCTATCATAAAACCCCAATGGTGACGATGAAATTATAACAGATGTGAGACTGAGAAACTCAAGCTGCCTGGACATATTGAGTAAATGCTGTGCTGGGACACAAGGCAGGGTAATTGCTTGGTTCATCAAGTAGTCAAATACCCACAGCATAAGAAATCAGTCCTGACATACTCCTAAACCAGTATGCAAGATACATAGTAGTGGATGAATAGTTGTGATTTGCAGTAGAGACCATCATGTACTCAAATACCAACCCTGGAGGAGGAAAAACATTATTTACTCCAGTAATACATTAAAGAAGACAGATAAAGAGGCTTCTGGAAGGAGATTTAAAACAAGCTCTGCAGAGAGGATTTAGAAAACTCTAATCAAAGACTTAGATGTATGCACCCCCATCCAATGTGTTTTCAAAAAGGCTAAATCACAAAGAAAGTGGTATGGCTAAACAGGAATGGGAGCCTTGTTAAAGTAAAGAAACATTAAAAAAAAAATCTGATCCAAATAATAAAAATTGAGAAAAGCATAAGCTCTGGTCTTAGAATTAACTTGCCCCCACAAAGGAAGCCATTAGAACTGAGCTGTATCCCTATCATTCTTCAGTTTGCTAGAGAAGCTCTTTTATTATTCTCCTGTACAATATGTTCACCTGTCCTCTGACCATGCTAGTTGTCATGGTTTGACACTGGCACAATGCCAGTGCCCCCCATGAAAATGCAACCTATCAACTGAATGCTGTGAAATGCGATCGAGAACAGAGCAAAGCAGGCCAAACTTAATAACAAAGGAAAAACTTTATTCCACTACTACCACTACTACTACTACTACTACTACTACTACTACTACTACTACTACTACTATAAAAGAAAAAAAGAAAAAAAAAACCCACACAAAATTCAAAATGAAAACCTTCCAAAACATTCTTCCTCCCACCACCCAACTCCAACAAACCACAGCGAGACACATTTGGACCCTTAATCAAGTCTTTACCCTTCCACATAATCAATACTGAGTCCATCAGTGTAAATTCTATGGTTAAATATTCTTAGTGCTTCTGACATATTCAGTAAAAGCTAGTGTTATAGAAAATATTTTTAAGTGAAAAAATTTATTTCTATACAGCTTATTAGCATTAACTATGGAAAAATTGGAAAACCCCTTTTTTTCCAATCACAGCCTGAAAAAGTCCTATATGATTGAACTGACTGATGCCTTAATTAATTATGAGATGCTTTTATCCTTTCCTGTCTACACTGATTCCCAGAAACAGTGGTGCTTCTGCACACAGTTTAACTCCCTTGTAAACACCCCCATCTGCTCAGTGTTTTCCTTCCTGCATAACTTTTACCTCAGTGGTAAAAGCAGCTGACTGAGGGCATTAGGCAAGAAATACATCTGTTCCTGCAGATTGCCTTGTTAAAATGAAATGGGAAATCAGGCAATGGTGATTCTCTCAGATGATCCCTATGTTGACAAATGTCAGTTGAGTTCAAGGGTGTGGGTGACAGGACACTTCAGTGACTATACCTTAAATGCTTATGTGTCAAAGAACATTTTTATTTACTTCTTGGGGACTCTTATAATTTAAAGCTGCTTTTCTCAAAATTGTGCATTCTCAAAGTCAATAAAATTTGATGCGATTATTGGCCAAACATTGTGTCATGGAAATCATTATTATTACACTGCCTCCAAATATTTTTTTTTTGTCTCAAGAGAAGCAGTGTCATCTTCAGATTTGACTGTTTTAAGGCAGAAGTATACACAGAGTGTTTCAATGTAGTTTAGAGCAGTGGAAGGATCATTCCAAACTCTGACAGAGACTGGGGGTGGGCCCCTTTCATGCTAGTGACAAGTGTCAGAAGCAGGATGCCAGCAAAATTCAGCTCACCAAAGGCACTTATACTGACCAGCTCTGTACTTTGTACACAGAAATCTCATGCTCCCAGTTTTATTCCCTGGAATTTTCCAAGAGCAGCTATCAGTTTCACAGGTCCCAGAGCCTCTACAGGGAAGAAATGTCACTGCAGACCAGACAACTTCAACAACACAGTCATAGTTCCCATGTTATTCTTGTGCTGCTATACTAAAATGCTGAATTCAGAATCTGGTCTGCTGGTTGCTGTAATGGCAAGTGTTTGTTGTGCTTGCTGTTCTCATGAAGTGAACACAGACAAACTACATTGATTGTGTGTTTTGTGGGCAATAGTATCCTTAGGTGTGCTGAACTGCATTGATCCTCATGGAGAACACTGTCTCACCAGAGAATTTGCCAGCTTTCAAGCTGAATTTTGCTTGGATGCTGTGCATCTCCATGCTGACTTCAGCTTCTTCCAGAGGATCAGGAGATATCTTCCATGTTTGGCAGTCCTTGGTTTTTAAAGGAGGACTGACCTATTCTTACTAATTTTAACTCTTGTGTAGATCTTATCCTGTGCATTTTAGAGGAGAGAAAATAAAAATTGAAATAACACAGACTGTCTGCAGGAGAAATGCTTTAAGCTGGGACAATATACCTGGATATCTACCCAGGACAGCATCTGGTATTACATAAGCGAATAAGTTGAATAAGTGCAGCATGGACAGGCAGGCTACAAGGTGTGATGGAGACTACTATTTAGAGGTGTCAGCTGGATCAAGAATATTTAGTTTGGTATTTAAAGGATTTTTAAATGGAGATTAAAATAAAGAAAGGTATGAACATGAGTGGTTTCTGATCTAGCAGTGGAATTCAGATAGATCCCTGTGTCCATGCAGTTAACCCCTTATGTGATTAGGATCTGGTATAATGTGTAAGGTAACAGGCAACTTGATGTGTGTCTGTAGTTCAGGATTACTACTTTGCAATTTTAATGCATAAACCAAAGATTTGTCATTCCAATAATCTGATTTGCACAGACTACTGCAGCACAGCACGTGAGTGCCTAATTCAGGTACATATTTATTTAACAAAGTACTTCTTTGTTACAGTAACACCAGGCAAAAAGTACATGTGGTTCCTGCTGTCAAAAATAAAGATGGAGAAACAGAGTAAGCAGAGGCTCCTAACTTCTTTTTCGTCTGCCAAGTACAACCTTCCACCTAAAAAACCCAATTACCTGTAAAAGGTAGTTGTTAAGCTATTATTTTATTAGGTATTATTAAATAGCTTTCTCCTGACAACTGACAGCTTACAATAGGTACAATAACTTAAAATACCATTCATCTCCATAGGCTTCAGCCTTTCCAAGTCACGTATGCTGAATGTGAAGAGGACTAATGTTTGATGAGAAAGGCAAGCTTCAGAAATCAGGTTAATCTATAAATAGCTTCATTATTGAATGTTGGCATTTAGGGCTGTGTAATATTTTGAAAATTAAGAGTTTGTGTTTTCCAGTATTTTCTACAAGTAGTTAATATATAGTCTGGGCCTGGTTGCCTTTACTGCTTCCTAAGCAGCATAAAAGAGGCTGTGGGGACAATCCACTTTGTACCTACGAGGTCACAAAGATTGGGATACAGCTAGAACTGTCAAAAATCAACGTGAGTAGGATGTTACCAATAACTCAATTCTTTGGCATTTCTTCCTTTCTGTTTTTATGGAAAGCCTTTTAATCATAAAATATCAAGTGAAGGGCAAGGAAAAAGGAAGCGGCACTAATTTGTAGGAGAGCTGTACCAAACAAGGAGCTTTTCTGCTGAGGTGACCATGACACTCCAGTGCCACTTTCTGATTTGGCACAGTTCTATTACAGCCTTGAAAAACATGGGTTCAGCACAATCTGATTGTCAAACTTGACATCTACAACTATCTTATGAACTATCACTATTAAAGTTTCCAATGGAAGTGAAGTCAGGATTTCACTAGAGCAGTATCAATACTTACATGAATCTCCTGTTTGAGTGGGGGCAGTGTTGCAGTGTCACATTGCCCGCAGGGAAAAAAATTGCAACTCTTGGCTACAGCTTTAAGTATCCAAAAGTTAGAAAAAGCCAAAGAATAGTAAAGTTCCAGATAAGATTGGGAGGTCAAATATGAGGCAGACTTTTGGTCTTAAAATCAGGCTTGAGCTGGAATAACTGGAAACTTGCTACTTACATTTGGCTATGTACCTACTTCTTATGTGAGAATCCTGATCTAATAAATACCCAGATTATGTATATAAAATAATAAAATTGGAATGGTAAGTGTACTTCAATTGAAATACAATAAACTCTGAATCTAAGCTTTAAAAATGCCATTTAAAAGTTAGTTCCTCATATGAATTAGTTTTAACAATTAAGTGGTAATATAAAGACCATGTTTTTCTGTAATGAGAGATTACAGTAACCCTCAGTCTTTGCAATCTTGCAGATTTGTGTGGAAAGATGTATCCCCAAACCCAGCAACTCACCCTCTCTTGAGTGTGGAGTGTGGCCTTGCAGGGTCTGGAGAGGGTAGCAGCCTCCATAAGTTCAGCTTTGAATAGTAGATTTTGCACCCCTCAAAGCATCCAGCCAGTGTACAAGAGGGTAAAGAAGAAAAGAACATATTTGCATTAAAAAGTTGCTAAGAAAACAATAATTCTATCATTATGATTTAGTGGGTTTTGCTGGAAGACTCTTCCAATGTCCAAGTGCATGTGCAAAAAATGGAAATTTCTAGGAAGGGCAGTAGCTTGGATTAACAGATATTTATGTGTGCTTTCACAATGAATAAATTCAAGTTCTTATCCATGAATGAATTTATACTTATAATTTAAAATAAATGTCTTGTCCAGACTAGACTATTATTGCTTTGTTCCTCACTTTAAAGGCAGCATATTCATTAAAATAAGCACATTTTTATTTCAACTAATTTTCTACCTAACTAGTGGCATTTTCATCTTCACAGCATATCACTGAAACAAAAAGATATGACTCTTAAAATTTCTGTCAGACAAACCCTCATGAAAAATTAAGTTAGATTCTTCTTATGATAGAACTTAGCTGTTTTTTGAAGATTCCCTGGCTCAGGATAAAATACAGCAATGTGATTTAGATTCCAAACTTCAGCTGATATGACATGCATGTGATCAATACTGATAAGATAAACTAAGCCTCTTGGCCTAGAAATTTCATGTAGAAATGCAGATTCTATGATAAACCTTTCAGATGCTGATAAGGTGCAGCAGATAAAGGAAATGATTCTTCAAACTCTATTGAAAACCACCTGTCACAGTCAGATTGGCCATGGAGCTGTCATCATCTGTGGATACAGCATTATTTCATACCATGTGGTGCTTACACTTTGCTGTCCTTGTTTTTTCTAATCACATGAAAGCTGTTAAGATCTTCGGGTCTAGTCTTTTAAGGTCTAAGGTCAGTGAGAATTCCAATTTTTTAAATCTAGATTTCTCTGAAAACGTATTTATAGAAGCCAGTGAGGATAATTTTATGCAGGGTTTGTCTTGGAGGATAATGGGTGCACATTTATTTATTTATTTAGAAACAGATGTGGCATTTTTATAGGAGAAAAAATATAATCATTGTGTTAGGATTTAGACAACATGCCTGGTTTGAAAATATTCTGATAAACAGAACTGGGGTTTCTGCAGACGATTGAAGTTATTTTTATGAATAAGACAGGCTTCTATTTACATATCATTTAGTTCTTACATATTTGTGCATGGCAAGTCTTTTATATTTTATTGTTGGATCACAGAAAGGACACACAGTGAAACACTATCAGAGCTTTTTGCAGATGTCAGTTCTTTTCCTCTGAGAACTGAGACTCTCCAGCTGTTACAAGGCAAAAGGGAAAGCAGATTGCTGTGTTGGCATCTTCTTAGTGCATCAGACATCTTACTATATCTTAAACTGCTGGGTTTACTTAATGCTAATAAGATTAAGTGTTGCAAAAATTTCTAAGAAATGTCTTAATTATTAGCAGTGTTCCAAGTAGTATCAGTTGTTTTAACTATTTTGCTACTCTAGTCCATGTAATTTGAGTGTTTATTCTAGTATTTGACATAACTGTTTAAGAACCTTTGTTTTCACTTACTGTCTACAAGTGCATTCAGCACCAATGAAATCTCCTGTGTATTACTTAGAAAAAAAAATTAAAATCAGTGCAAAATGAAGTTATTATAAAACTTTAAAATCAAAAGATAAATAAGACTAACCCCAGTATCAAATACTACTACTTGTAGAGCATACTAAACTTTTCTTTAGAAAAGACAAATTGGCAAGAAGATGAATATTGATATTTTCCATTTGTTAGGTCCAAAAAAATGTGCTTTAATAATATAGTTACTTCTGAGACTGTAACAATCCAAAATTGTGACAAGGGAAATCCTCAGTAGCTGGAAGGAATGAAACATAATCAGAGTTGACAAGGAAATGGCTGCTCAGAGAGGCTGTGGCATAATTGGGTTTTGGAAATTTTCTGAAGTTGTCCAAACACTTTTGGCTTTTGGCAACCTGATCTAACTCACCACGAAGACCTCTTATCTCTGTAGACTTTGTGATGAGAGTTGCTGCAACATTACCTGGCTGATTTCCCAACTGCTAATAGGCATACATTGTGTTTAGTGAGGTACAGTGGATAAAATTTGCCATCTGTTCACTTGCCAACAGTCAGAGGGTAGGAGCTGAGACTTTATAATATTAATGCAGTAAAACAGGAGATGAAAGCTTGGCTATTGAGCTTTCAACCCATGTACTCACCTCAGATTAGAACTGCTGTGGTTATTATTTGTTTACATATGCAGGATTGCATAATAGGCAACTCTAAACAAATACTTGTTGTTGCAGTTATTCATAAAACTGGAGCTCTAACTGATACTTTTAGTGCAGATTTCTTGTCTTTTTTTAGGCTTCATAGTTTTGGTAAAGGTTTCCCTAAGAAGTTTGATCAAATCTTGCCACATAAAATAGCATACCTACAAATAGAAGTGTCACAATCTTGTATTTATATTTTTTTAGTAAATTAGTGCAGTGATAGAATCATCAAATCACCAGATATTTAACAGAGTGCTACAATAATATAAAAGAATCTTTTATACAGCAACTAAACCATGTTTTTGATGACTTTCACCGGAGTAAAAATAATTAAATTCATATTTATCAAACCAATCATTAGGAAAAGGTAGAGTGCCTGGGGTTTTCCCCAGGGAGAATTAACATTATTTGTGTATTCAATGAATGGTGGGCAAATACTTCTGTTTGTCCTGGATTTGTACTCCTAGATACAGAATTATTACATCATATAATTTGTGGATGAGGGGGTTTTGGGGTTGTTTCCTTCCTCTGCATCCCATTTTGGACTGTTTACTTTTCTCATTGAGAACACACAAGAAATGGCACCTACCGACAGACAGAACAGCTTTAATGTAATGTTTGAGTGGTGTCCTATCTGCAAGGGAGGCTCAGGCAGATTAACAAAGGATTGCTGGTAATAGAGGTACAACAATATGTGTCTTTATTTTCAAGTAATATTGCAGTATTTAAACCACACACATGATTGATAAAATATCTAATAAAACTGCTCACAGTTTTTTCATTCTTAATTCCATTTCATTTTCCTTTTATTTTTAAAAATCTATGTAGGATTTACTGAAATGTGATATCTGACACAAATGTACTGACTGGTGATCTTTTCCAGGTTAAATCACACTCCTTCAGGAGCAATTTTTGATCCACTACATCTTATGCCTACGTTTTCTGGGAAAGCATAGAATTATTTAGGTTGGAAAGGACCTTTAAGATCCTTAAAGGTGCAGAACTTTTGCTCTGCACTGCCCAAGCCACCACTAAACCACATCCTTAAGAGCCACATCCACAGGTCTTTTGAATTCCCCCACTCCTTCCCTGAGCAGCCTATCCCAATGCTTGGTAACCTTTCGGTGAAGAAATTTTTTCTAATATCCAACTTAATCCTCTCCTGGGGCTACTTGAGGCCATTTCCTCAAAACAGACGATTTTATGAATTCATGGAGCTCTTTAAGTTCTTTAGAACAACACCTTGATCAGTCAGGATATTATTTAACCACATAAAAACTACTTTTTGTGGTTTTCAAAACCCTTTATAGTTGTGATTAAATTTTCTTTGGGTATTTTTTTCTGTGCGGAAATGATGAGCATGATGAAAAGTGAAGTAGAAGATGGATATATAATCCTGGCTATATTGTATAATTTTTACAGAGAAAAGTTACTACCATTGATTTGCACAACTGCTCTTAAATTTACATAAAACTGCCCGATTAGCCAGTACTTTTGCTTAAGCTTTAGTCATTCAGCTGTGGTTTGTATACACAGAAATTAAATTATTTCAAAACTTCATTTTTAAAAATCCCAAATGAAAAATCATTACCTAATAGAATGGCAGCAGGTTTATTCACAATTTCCTGACATGTTTTCTTCCATTGTTTCTTCTGTATGATGGGAAAAGCCAAGTCTGTACAAAACAATTAAACAAAAAAATTGAACATAAAGGTAGGCATATATACATATGTAGGTATGTGTATATATATTTAATAATATTGTATGCCCTTTGCCTCTTCACACTTTGTGAAAAGGTGATAAAACCTTTTGTGCTGCTTCCATGCTCTGAACTGCACTCTGTGGTTTACTGTGGTTTGATAAACTGAAAATGCATTTGATATATGCATTTTGATGAGGGTGAGTGTCCACAATTCAAATAAAGTCAAAAGTGTTCCTAGCAAAGCTCTGTGGATTTACCTTAACTGCAGCAAGAGGGAGCTTGCAAGCCTAAAACACAGGCTGTAACAGAACCAGAGTGGTAACAATTGCTGATGGACCTTTCCTTTGTCAAACTTAAATATTTTCCTTCAGCTTTGTGGTTTTGTAAAACTGACTTGCACTAAGCTTCACAATATGTTTGAAAGCTGTTTAAAGCAGCGTTTGTCTCACCTTGATCATATTTATGTGGTGTTGATGTACTTTCATGTTTTTGAGGGTGACTCCTATTGCTAATATTGTTTTCTGCTCTCTGGAATACATTTTTAGACCGAATGTGCCATTTTGAGCTATCAAGTGCTGTACTTCCATGAATAATTGAGCTCCTATGAGTTCAGAATGACTTTACAGAACCAGTGTGAGATTAGCACCCCAGAGATTTAAAACTTGTTCCAGGGCTGACATTGCTACCTGCAGGCTCACCACATGGAGTAGCATGCTCTTACCTACTTTCTCTGCGGTCCTATCACCTCTAAAACATCTGGGCTTTGGGATTTTTTTCTCATTTGTGTTTACCTCCTCTGTGAGCTTCCTGAACTGCTAGATTAACTGTTGAAACAGTTTAATTAACAGTTTTAAAATCAGAAATAGTTTTCTAAGACACTGTAAGCACACGCAGGCTCCGTCAATCCCAGGTGAACTGAGGTGCACAACTCGCCCTGGGGCGGCATCAGCAGCGGCAGGGCCCAAAGGCGGCGCCGCGGCCCCACACGGCGAACGGGCGGCGCCGAGACCCGCCTGAGGGGAACTGAGGGCGGCTGGGCCGGCGCCTTCCCCGCGCCCCTGCCAGCCTCCCGTCCAACCCGCGCGGCTCCCCGCGGCTGCTGAGGAGCCGAAGCGCGATGCCGGCGACGGGACGGTGCCCGCGGGTGAGCAGCCGGGGCGCGGTGCCGGTGACAGGACGGTGCCGCAGCCGCTCCTCCCTCACGCGTTCACTTCGCCCCGCGAAGCGCCGGGGGAGCGGCGGCTGCAGCCGCGGATCCGCGCCGCAAGAGGGCGCCACACGCCGCCGCGCCGACCCCGCCCCGCTCCGCGCGCCCGTTCGGCCCCGCGGCTCCGAGCGCCGGCGGCGGGCTCGGGATCCCGCGCTGCCGCCCGGGGTCTGTCCGTGCCCGGCACGGCCGCCGTTCCGCCGCTCCGAGACCCCCATAGCCCGCACCTCCGCACCCCGGCGGGCGCTGGGCTGCGCCCCGCCCCGTCAGCTGACTGCCGGGGGCGCGCCCGCGCTGGGTCACGCCGCGCTCGCCGCCCCCTCCCCTGCGCTTCGCTCCCCTCCCAGCCGGCGGCCGCGGCTGAGGGGCCGCCTACGCCATGGTGCTGGAATCTGTGGTGGCGGATCTGCTGAACCGCTTCCTGGGCGACTATGTGGAGAACCTGAACAAGTCTCAGCTCAAGCTGGGCATATGGGGGGGTAAGGAGCCCCTTCCCTCTGCTGCTCCGTGTCCGCCGGGCCGCCGGAGTTACCGGGGGCAGGGGGAGCAGGTCTGGCTGGCCGCGGTTACCCTGTGAGGGGTCCGCGGGCCGTGGGACCGCCGGCCCCTCTGAGGGGCGAGCAGTGGCTTTGCGGGCCCCTGGGAGCAGGAGGCGAGTTCCGGGGCCGCGGCCCTCCGAGGCGGGCGGGTGGTCGGTCGGTGTGTGGCCGCACACGTCCCCGCTCCCTTGGAGCACCGTCGGTCCTTGTGTGCCCGGCGTCCCTGGCACCCCTCCCTCGCGTCGGTTTGTGGGGCGGGGGCATAGGCGCATGGCGCTGGCCTCGGAGCGCTTCGAGGGAGGAGACCGCCGACACCGATAAACCCCCTGTTATTTCTCCTATTCCTTGTCTCGGGTGCTGGGTGGAAGCACGATCGTGCTGTTGGATCTGTGGGCGGGCTCATGGCGCAGTGCCGCGAGTGCCGGTGCGGCTGATGGGGTGCTTGGGGAGCCGTGTGTTTCAGTTATCGGTGTAAATAATACGTGTTAAACAGCCGGAGAGTGCAGGTTTGTGGAGTAGCTGTTCTCGGTGAATGTATCAAAACACTCCATTCGCTATGCTATAGTCATGCAGAGAACCAGCTGAAGTACTGTCTAGGAAAGCTAGCTGGTTTAGGTGCCTTCCGTAGGTAGGTCATCACCTTATTTTGCTCGTCATGGTTGTACGTATTTTAGCATTTAAGCAATATTAATACCTATGCTTGAAATGGAATATAGCTCTAAGGAATCTGACATTAAAGTACTAAGAGGTATATAGGTTTTCCTCAGGTATAATTCTGTGCCAGTGTTTCATTTAGAAATCCTATTACGTTGTCTGCGTCAGGAAAAGTTAATGTGTTTGTGAAAACAGGCATGTGTTTTTGTGCTGTGATTCATGATTTTTCTTTCATGTGAAATCATGAAAAACAAGATGCCATTTTCCAAGTCTACCCTACCTTGATAGAACTGCAGTTGTCATTCACACCAAGTGAATAATAAGAAAGACTTCCTCTTCTTGTGGGTGTATTTAATAGAGTAGAAACATGTTGATATTTAAGTTGGTGATGTTTTTATCATCTCTTCCAACTGAAATTTTTTCTAGAACCCATATTTAGTGGCTCTTACAAATTACATGTCTCTTGTGCTGTTCTGTAACTGGAATAAGGTTTTCAGGTTTTATTCATAAGTAGGATTGTGGTTGTGTTCCTTTTTCTAACATAAGTAATACTTGAAGTAATTTTTTCTGTACTTCTCCCTTCTAAACAGGTAATGTGGCACTTGACAATTTGCAGATAAAGGAGAATGCATTAGTAAGTATGCTAATAAGTTCATATTGGTTTTACGGGTCTAAAGACTGAGAATGAAATGTTGCTCACTGTAGTCTCACAGAAGGATACACAGTTCTTTTTTACTAGTTATAGGAAGTAAGTTCTTGGTTAACTGCTTCTAACTTTGCATATTTTACTGGAACGGAGAAAGAAAAGCTGTGGTTGAAAAACAGAAGTAACTTGTATTAAGTTCCCTTGCTCTTTTCTGGAAAAAACAAATTACTTGGCTAATTTTCATGTTCCTTAATTTGGATAGTCTGAGGGAATCTTGCTCCAAAATTTAGTGGGTTTCAACTTCACTAAAGAGAAGTGTTACTCTTCTGTGCACTGGAAACACATTGGATCTTTATATGATCTGATCACTGGCTTCTCTTTGTTATTCTGAAGTTTCATACTTTGCTTGTCTATTTAATCCATTCCTGATAGCTTTGTTGTACTTCAAATCAATTGCTACAAATGTTTTCATGTCTAGTAGATAAGGAAGGAAAGAAGTGTTACTTTGTACACACCTTTCCTTCTTATGGGGGTTGATTCAGATTCCAGCAGTTCTGATGTAGAAAAATGCAAAGTCATGTATGTGACTGACCAGAGCCAAGACCAAATCAAGAACATAAAGTAAGGGATGGTTCTGACAACCTTACAATTGCAATGTGTTCGATTTCCATGCAAAAGTAATTAAAGGGAGGTCAGTATTAAACACCACTTGTAGGGAAGTAGCCTACACTTGCTTGAAAAAGAAGGGCTCAAAGAAATATGATATGGTCCAGTTCTTTTTTACTCTAGTTTGCCTATCTGCTGCTGTCTTGTTTTCCTTCTAGGATTTTCCAGAAGTAGCTTTTAATTTGTGTATGTAAATACAGTGCTTTGCAAATATAATCCAAATTTATGTATCTGATTTTTACTACTTCTTCTGTTTAATACTTTATTTTTGTCATTTACAGAGTGAACTGGATGTACCTTTTAGAGTAAAAGTCGGTCAGATAGGTAAGTTTTAGTTCCAGCACAACTATTGCAATGGAAATTTTAATACATTCTACAAGTCAGTCTTGCCCTTGAATTTCTTTTATCAAGCTTTATAAGTGTAATTATACTCACTATTGAAACTGGCATAGAAATTCAACATGACTGCCATTGATGTTGTCTGGCAAACCCTGTTTGTGTAACTTTACAGATTGATATGAAAAACACATCTGAGAGGTTCTTCCCAGAGACATGAATGATCAAGGGAGCTGTTTAGTTAGACAGAGTATGCATTGTTCTTTAAAGGACTGATTTAGACTATGAAGAATTTAAGTTAAATTCCTGAAACTGACAAAATATGCCAAAGGTTTAGGAACGCTTAGTTTTTTTTGGTTTTTTTTTGGTTGTTTTTTTTTTTTTTTTTTTTTTTTTTTAGTAAATGCCTTTCCATGGTAGTCAGCATTGCTTTTTCACGTGAAACATTTGTAGGAGATGTACATATATGTAGTATTTTTTTCTTCTACTTCCTGGGAAAATCCTTTTCATCCCAGTGAATTGTACTTCAGCCATGATCTCAGGTTTTAATTCAAAGTGTTCTTACTCAGACTGTGACTTTTTGCTTAAATTTATAGCTTATGTTTCCTCTTCATATATTTTATTTCTAAGGTGTTTAGGACATCAAGATACAGGACTAGTGCTCTTTAATGCTGGAGGTGTTCTTTGGACCAAGCACAGTGGAGATGTTTGTTTTGATGTAATTGTATCTGCTTTGTTTAGATAAACTTACTCTGAAGATTCCTTGGAAGAATCTCTATGGGGAGGCAGTTGTTGCAACTCTAGAAGGCTTGTATCTTCTGATAGTTCCTGGAGCAAGTATGTAAACTTCTCAGCAACAGTTAAATAATGGAAGAGAAAAATATCTGAGGGTACCATGTAAATGAGTCTGTAGTGGCAAGTAGTTCGTGTGAGCCACCCTTTTTACATTCTGCTTCCTCAGGGAAGTTTCTACACATATGCTGGCAAGTTAATAGAAGGGTGGGAGAAAACAGCACCTGTTACTTTTATGGAGATCCTTGCTTGTATCCATTCCAAGTTCAGTTCAACAGCCAAGTTTCCTCTAAAACTTGCTTATCCTGAATCCAGTTCTGTGGCATGGTTTAGATCTTTAGCTGTTTATTTGCTGCTAAATGATAACAATCAAAGGTAATAATTCCATTTGTACTGTTTGTAGGGAGAGGCAACGGGGTCAAAGAACTTTTGGTTTTCTGTAAAAACAGTACCTCTGGTATGATGAGAAAACTTGCAGGTTCCTGGAGCATTAAATATATGTATAGAAGAACTCAAAAATCTGTCGTACATTGCACAGTCCACTCTTAGGAGTCTGAATTTGCACAGAAGAGTGTTCTCCTGTGAGATAATGTCTAATTGTGTAAAAACAGCAGTTTTGGACTCTAATTGCAGTGTTCAGCAATGAAAAAAAAATAGCTTTTCCCTCAAACAAGGTGTTTTACAACATGATGTTGTATATGGTGCATTGCTTGATAATAATAACTTGAGATTTAGGATTAATGCTTTCCCAACTTGGCTTACAGGTGTTAAATATGATGCAGAGAAGGAAGAAAAATACTTGCAAGATAATAAACAAAAGGAACTGGCAAGAATTGAGGAAGCCTTGCAGAAAGCAGCAGAAAAAGGTACTGAGTTAATAATGCAAATCTCCATTGGAATTTGAGGACATAGGCTGTGCTGTGAAAGAAAAGTCCTGGTTTCTAATTGACTTAATACATTTTGTTTTTTCAAGTGTCTAGCTAATCTTACTACAGTGCTTTGAAAAGCCCTTTTAGTCTGAAGTTTGAAAGAAATGTTATTTGTTTGTTTACCATTCATTTGTCCAGTCATCTTCCATGGGAAATGGGAATTTATTCATCTGGTATGTCTTTTTTTTTCCTTGGTGCTTTAGGGAAGCAGGACCATTCAGAACAATAGAAAGTACATTGTGTGAGGGTAATGCTATCTTGCTTTAGCACCATAATAATAGATGTTTAACTGTGTGTTGTGGAGGTGCTTGTGGTAGGTTGTTCTTTGATGAAAGGAGCCTTTAAGGGGAAAGGTAAGGCTTGTAAACTTTTACTGCAATGATAATGCTTTTGTTTCAGTTTCTGCTGTGCTTTTTTGATGTACTGAGTTTGGACTGGTTTGGGAAGTGAAACTCTTGTGAGCAGGAAATAATTCATGTCACAACAAAACAGCTGAGCACGAACATAGGAACCTTAAACTTTTCCTCTAGGTCATAAAAAGTGCTAAGCTCTCTACTGTTAAGTCCTGTTAACTTGTTTCATGGCGGTGATTTTTTTTTCTGTTTGCTTATATTCTTGTAACCCATACCTTTAATAGAATTATGGTATTGGTTGAGCTTGTTTGAACAGAAACCAAGCTCAGAACTAGTGACAGGTA